CTATAGGGGGAACCTTAGAGGAGCTAGAGTCCTTATCTTCTAATAAGGAGCTCTAGGCGCCCTTAGCTGCAGAAGCAGCCTTACGCGTAAGCTTAGCAGCAGTAGCAGCAGCTTTTACTAGCTCCTGCTATTTAGCCTTGCTCTCCTTAAGGAGCACTAAGACCCTTCGCTTCTTATCCTTAAGAAGGTCTTAGCTCTTACCTACCTACTTTCTTGCTAGGAAGGATAGTATAGAGCGTTAGGCAAGCTTAGGGCTATTAGTTTATTAGTATAAGATCTTACTAAAAGTATTATAAAGGAAAAATTCTTATATAGATTATATATATTAGGATATAGCTATACCTAGAGGAGTACTACTAGTACTAAGTCCCCTTACTAGAAGAGTTATAGCACTTGCTATTAGACTTATTAAAGAGCGCTAAGCGTAGATAATTTAGATAAGTTTTAGCATAATAAATACTAGGCTCTTTATAGTAGGAGGATCTTAGGGTCTCCTTAGGAGCTAGAGAGGGAGTAGGCGTAGGAGTGGGGGCCTTAGGCAGGGTTTAGGGGGGAGCAGGAGCTAGAGTTAGAGCTAGAGTAGTAGAAGCTAGAGTAGGAGCGCCTTACCTTAGCTTTATAATCTTAGCTATAGTAGTAGTAGCTACGCACTTAGCTACTATACACTCTATAATAGCCTTACGCTTAGTAGTAGCACGCTCTTCTTTAGTAGTAGTAGCTTTAGTAACTATACCTTTAGCTATATAGGAGGTAATAAGGGTAGCGTAGGTAGAGTAAGCGCAAGTAGTAGGTTTTAACTTTAACTAAGATATAGGTTAGTAGGGATATAAGTATAGTTTAGATCTTTAGGGTTATATAATCTTATAACTTAAGCTATAGTAAAAGATTATAGTTAGGTAGATAGAGTTATAGAGCTCTGTCTAGACAATATCTACGCGCGTAAGCGCAGGCTAAATAAGGAAGGCGCGCTAGTTAGTATCTAAAGAGTAAGCTAATTTAACCCTTTAGATATATAACGCTCTAATTAGCTACACTACCTACTAACTACAAGCGTAACCACAATAATAACAAAAGATCTACCTATACCTAGGGGGTGTGTTGCAGGAGGGATATTAACTAGATCACAGAGTATCTTGATCCTAATTAATCCTAATTAATCCTAGTTAATACCCCTGTATAACCCACTATCTAATTAACTACTAGCTTACTACTAAGTGCCTAATAAAAAAGTAGGAGCTCTAGTAAGGAAGGTTTACTAATTATTTACCTTCTAGTAAGGGTAGCTAAAGCTCTATATATATAAGTCTAATTGTAGTAGATACAATCTAATAATCCATCTCCTAAATCATTCCTAACCTTAGTAATCCAAATTTCCACACTAGCTTTGCCTATTATAGTTACTAGCACTTACTATACTACTATTATCCCCTATTAACACTATATAGTGTTTATATATCTATAATTTTACGCCTCTTCTATAATTTCTAGCTACTTAAGGGATTAAATAGACGTTGCTAAATTACTATAAGTATAGGAAACTATAGTGTTAATAGCTACTATATAGCTTTCCCTAGTTTTAATAACTAATTTTATATCTAGGTTTTAGTATTCCTTACTAAGCTAGCTTTTGCTATCTAGCGTACTTTTACTATCTAGTGTCCTTTTACTAGTTTTAGTAGCAAACTTTGTTTAAAAGTTTTAATATTCCTTACTAAGCTAGCTTTTGCTATCTAGTGTACTTTTACTATCTAGTATCCTTTTACTAGTTTTAGTAGCAAAGTTTATATAAAAGTTTTAATATTCCTTGCTAAGCTAGCTTTTGCTATCTAGCGTACTTTTGCTATCTAGTGTCCTTTTGCTAGTTTTAGTGGCAAAGTTCATGCAAAAGTTTTAATATTCCTTGCCAAGCTAGCTTTTGCTGTCTAGCGTCCTAACGCACAAGCCAATTTTTTTGTACTTTAATAGCAAAAGTTTGTAAACTAATATCCTTAGTCTATACAAGAAGAATTCTTTACTAAAGGTAGGACTTTTATAAGGAAATAGGTAGTAGGGGTTATAGGAGATAGGTTCTAGGTCTAGGTTTATAGGAGATAGGTTCTAGGTCTAGGTTTATAGGAAATAGGTTTTAGGTCTAGGTTCTAGGTCTAGGTTTATAGGAAATAGGTTTTAGGTCTAGGTTTATAGGAAATAGGTTTTAGGTCTAGGTTTACAGGAAATAGGTTCTAGGTCTAGGTTTGCAGGAAATAGGTTTTAGGTCTAGGTTTATAGGAAATAGGTTTTAGGTCTAGGTTTATAGGAAATAGGTTTTAGGTCTAGGTTTGCAGGAAACAGGTTTTAGGTCTAGGTTTGCAGGAAACAGGTTCTAGGTCTAGGTTTGCAGGAAACAGGTTCTAGGTCTAGGTTTGCAGGAAACAGGTTCTAGGTCTAGGTTTGTAGAAAATAGGTTTTAGGCAGGGGTTATAGGAAATAGGTTTTAGGTAGTAGGGGTTATAGGAAATAGGTTTTAGGTTTTAATTTTCCTCGTATAGTTATTTCCTACCACACGCTAGTAACGCACAGTCCTCTTTAGAGTCGTTTCCTAGTAGGAAACGACTTTCCTATAATATGTAGGTAAGGGAAGACTTAGTTAATAAGTATAAATAGTAGTAGTAGTACTAGTAGGATAAGGGTAGTGCTTTAATACTCTACTAATAAGTATCACCCTAGGCCTAAAGAAAATAAACGTTAGAATAAATATAAGGGGACAATAGAAAATTAATACTAATAATAAGAGTCTTAATACTTTAGGTAGTGCGCTTAGTAGCGCTCTTAAGCTTATTAATATAAAGGTTAGTTTAGGCCTAAGTCTTATTTATATACTAGTTAATACGCTAGAAGGTAACACTAGTAGTAGTAGTAAGCTATATAACGTTGTTATTACTATATCTACTACGTAAGGGCGTAATAGTAGACTAAAGTAGAAATACTAGAGCACTAGTAGTAGATAGGATAATAGCACTAAGCTAATACTAATTATAGGCGCGCAAGTAGGTAAAGGGAGTAAGTAGAGTAATAGTGTTATTAGTTTAGGCCCTTAATATAATATCCTTAACCTAATAGTAGAGCTTATAGAATTATAGTATAAACTAGTAGTAAGTATATTTAGTAGGTTTTCTTATAAAGGTCCTAAGGGTCCCTTTCTTTATAATATAAAGGTAATCCTCTTAGTAACTATAATAAAACTAAAGCTAGTTATAGAGGGCTTAGTAGGTATTAGGATTATTAGTAAGGATAGCCTCTAACCTAGTATAGGTCTTATAACTATAATAGCAAGACTTATATAAACGCCCTAGATATAGTTATAACTTGCTATAAAGAATATAAAAATTAAGAGGAACGTACTACTACCCTCCTAATAGTTACACTTACTAAAGAGATAGAGTTAGTTAATATACTAATTATAAGGAAGTACCTTTATAAAACTACTATTATACTTTTTATTATCTAAGTTACTAGAAATAATAAAGCTACTAAGTAACTAGGTTTAGGGAGGTATATACTAAGCAAAGTTAGTATAGGAAATATTAGGAAGAATATTAGAAGTACGCATATTATTATAGTAGGCCTAGCGTAGGGTCTAACTGCCCTATAGTAGATCTCTACTACTAGCACTAGTAGTAGTAGATAGGGACATAGTAAGGGTAATAGGGGCTAGATTATTAGAGAAAGAATAGAAAGAAGGCTAATTAGTAGGGAAAATTAGTTATGTAACAAAGTAAGTTTAGGAAATTTATAGTAGGGTAGGATAGCTATATTAGAACTTTTATAGTAGGGTACTAAAATAAGTATATAGATACTACACACGTATACTACTTAATATATAGGCCTATTATAAATTAGGAAAGAATATAGAGATATAATACTAAAACCTAAATATATAGTAATAAAGCCTAATATAGATTATAGAGGATAAAAATATAACCTTAAACCCCTAAAAAGATAATTATATAATAGCTTATAGGGAAGGTTAGGGGTATATAAAGGGCTTAGGCTAGGCCTAATATAAGATAGATAGAGTCTAATACTACTACTAAGCAAACACGCTATACACCTATAAAAAGGCGTAGAGGGCTTACCTCTCCTTTAAGATACTAAATACTATTATTAACACTTATTGTATTCTCCCTTAAGGCTAGTCTACAATAGTATTTACGCTTAGGATGCCTTATAGTGCTAAGTATTCGCGTAAGATGTGCTCTTCTATTATTACCCTTTATTATTAAGGTCTTAGATAGACTACGATATTAAAATAGCTACCTATCTTACCTAATAGGGCTTTTACCTTTATAAAAAGACTCCTTAAATAAGCTAGTATAGCCTATATAGTAGACCCGCGTTCTTAACCTCTCGTCCTACTAAAGGAGACTCGCCGCGGTTGTCGTGAACAGTTCCCTAAGGGCTCTAACGTCGCTAACGCCTTAGTAGAGACGGCGGTGAGTGACGATAACTAGGAGACTCTACTCTCCTTGTTGCATAGTGTTGATTATCGCAAAAATAGGTGGCAACAGGTAGCAAATCACATGATACTCAAACTACCCGAGCGCATGAGAAGTTATCTAGCTAGTCTTAGAAGTCCAATACTTTCTTCGAGTACCCTTCCCTCGGACCAGCGTCGCGTAGCGAATCGTCGAGGACAAAGTACGTCTATTAATGTAGTTGTTCCACACATCCTTTGATGTATCGAGAATACCACTGCCAGTCACTGAGAAGCATATGGCATGTGAGATGGCCATGATCTGTTTCGCAAGGCATCATGGCCAGGTGTAGTACTAGAGACCAAGACACTCGAAATATGGCATTCGCTTGGCTATAGACTGACAGTACTTTGAAGGGACAACAAGTGTTCTGGTTTTCTTAAAATACCTCCATCAATATATACAATTCAGGCTCAGCTAAAGTGGTGTCTTTCGAGACGCGCTAGCTCCATCGACAGTCGACATATCGATGCCTGCATGGAACGACTATGTTGATTCAGCAAAGTCGACGTGCCCAGATTCATTGTGGTGCAGTGTTGCTGCCTGTTCACCTGCACCCTTCCAGCCACACGTGTTGCACTGAATGGAGAACTTTTGGGTGTCGGTGAAGTAGTGTTGTTTTTTGAGCTCCCCACAAAGTTGCCGCGCGGCCTCGAGTATGACGTTATCGGAAGCGTCGAAGAGCTTCACGTCATTCTCCGTGTCCAGAGGCGAGACGCCCTGTGGGACAAAGGCGATGGTGTCGTAATGTATACCCGAGTAGACGAGGATGACCCGTCTTGTCTGGCCTTCATTGAATCGGTCGACCCGCAAATCCTGGACATTGATACTGGCAATCTCAATGTCGAAATGCTGTGATAGGATGCTAAGCTCGATACCACCACCCCATGAGTTGGGGTTCATTATCCACTTGCAGTACTCGTCGGGTGACTTTTCGAGCGTGGCCTCGTTATATAGCTCTGGGTTGCTCTGTATGCCTTGCGCGACCAGTGAACGCAACTCATCCATGGAGTCAAGCTCACCAGTCAACACTGCCGTACCAAGAGCTCGAAACATGCAGGAATTATCGTCGGGCATAACGCGCATCACAATGGTACCGCCACGAGAAGGGAGCGGTACTTCGGGTGTGTCTTTCAGCGCTGCTACCTGCTTCCGCTTCAGCGAAAGTAGCTCAGAATCTGTCTTGGCTTCCTCTTCCTTCTTCTGTTCGCTTGGGTCGCCTGTCGCCTGACCGATGACTATGATTTGTGCGCCATTCAACTTGAGATCGGTGTCTCTGAGTGGCGTTGATAAACCATATAATGCGGGGTCAAGTGGCTGTGGTGGGAAGTTCCATTTGAGCTCGAATAGGGGAAGCTCTGTGGCATTGCTGATAGAGGACAGCAGGTCGGATACTGCGGCGTTGTCATCGAGGGACAGTGTATGCTGGCCATTGGGTGCACGAAGACGTATACGGATGGGCATGCTGCTGATTCTGGAGGGAGGTTGTTTAGGCGGAGGTCTTGGACGGATGGCGTTGAATAGACAATCGATCTGGATGTGAGTGGTGAGCTCAAGGGCAAGGTGGTGACGATAGATGGTGGGGCGTGCTAAAGTAGGTCCAAAAGTAAGGAAGTGGTGGAGAGCTATCTGAGAGAGGAAACTGTAATCAGTGAGTGGGGAGAATGGGGGAGCATGATATCACGTAGGGTCAAACACGAGTAAACTAAGGATAGTGAATCATTTGGGTCGTTTGTCAGCTATAGAGAAGTAGAGAGAGAGGCGAGAGCGGGCAGAAAGCCGCGGGCATGCGTTGTGAGGTTGCCAGTGAATGTTCCCGAATCACAGGCCGAAGGCGGACTTCCGAGGGGTTGTTGGCTTACATAAGTGGGTGAAAGGGGTCCGAGCGCCCGGACGCAGGGGCCATGGCCAGTCGCGACTTTGTACATGCCGGAGACGCGACAACCTCAGCAACCGGCGTGCAGTAGAAGGGGGAGGAACTTCTCGACAACATCATCGGACAAAAGAAAATAAGAAGAGTAAAGACCAGATCATCGAGCAGCAAACATGACGTCTGCACGCGCTCCGAGTTCCACCCCGGTTCCGACCACAGAGACGGCTGAGTCTGCCGGCGCAACTTCGACGGTGACGGCGCAAGAATGGGAATCCATGGCCGAGTTTGTCAGAAATGTGTACAACTACCGAATCGACGAGTATGTTTCCTCCATGTGTGCGTCTGCAGCGGGCCATCTGTGCTTACCATCAATGGCAGTGACTATGATCCCACGAAGCTCTTCCAGCGCAAGGTCAATAAGCGCGCGGTGCCCGACTACTACGACATCATCAAGGAGCCCATGGCATTGAGCACCATCAAGGCAAAAGTCTCGCAAAAGGAATATAAGAGTTTTTCTGAATTCGTGCGCGATCTCGCACTCATCCCGCACAATGCCCAGGTCTACAACCGGCAAGACTCGCAGGCCTATGTGGATGCGCTCGAGGTAAAGAAGGTCATTGAGCGCGAGCTCAAGAGGCTCGTGGACGAAAAGGTCATCACAGAGGAAGCCGCGACCCTTCCTTATCTTGGTGAGATCCCAGAGCAAGACCCTCTTCTGCCCGAAGAAGAGGAAGAGGACGAGGACGAGGATGACGAAGAGGAGCTTGAAGTGGACGAGGAAGAAGACGACGAAGAGGAAGACGAGGGCGGCAAGCGGAAGAGGAGGCGCGGCCCTCGCTCTACAGCAGCCATTACGAAGCGCGAAGGCGGTTCGAGGGCGACCAAAGAAGACCCAAAGAAAGACGACGATCCGGAATCGAGGAAAAAGCGTGGACGGCCGCCGCGGGTCGATACGCCCATGGAAGCACGAATCAAAACCATCATGAAGGGCATCCGGAAGCCGCGCAATTCGCTCAACAAGCTCATGGTCAGTGCATTCGAGCGCGTACCTGACAAGGCTGTCATGCCCGAATACCACGCTGAGATTAAGAATCCAATGGCCATGGATATCCTCAAGCGGAAACTTAAGCGCAAGAAGTACAATTCGGTAGACCACTTCATGGTGGACGTGGAGCTCATGTTTGAGAATGCCAAGCAGTACAACGAGGAAGACAGCCAGATCTACAAGGACGCGGTGCATCTGCAAAAAGAGGCTCGTAAGATTGCTAAGGCCGAGAAGGAGAAGCCAGACACGGACTACGTCATGGAAGAGGGACGCATACCTATGCCTAATGGCATCCTTCACAACGGCGAGCTATGGAAAGTTGGCGACTGGGTGCACATTCAAAATGCAAACGACCTCACCAAGCCCATTGTCGCTCAAATCTACCGGACATGGCAGGATGCAGAAGGGGGCAAATGGGTCAATGCATGCTGGTACTATCGTCCTGAGCAGACTGTGCATCGTTGGGATCGTCACTTCCTCGAGAATGAAGTGGTCAAGACGGGGCAGTATCGTGATCACCGCATCGATGAAGTGGTCGATCGCTGTTTCGTCATGTTTGTGACGAGATACAACAAGGGACGCCCTCGGGACTTTCCGCCAGACAAGGAGATTTACGTTTGCGAAGCTCGGTACAATGAGGAAAATCACAAGCTCAACAAGATCAAAACATGGGCCAGTTGTTTACCTGATGAGGTACGCGACAAGGACTATGTCATGGATCTGTTCGACTCGCAGCGAAAACTTAAAAAAGTACCCAGTCCAATTGCATACTTGCTAAAGGACGAACAAACCGAAGACGACGACCTTCCGAAGCCTGAATGGGGCGCTGAAAATGCTCCTCCAAAGATTGGCGCCGTTCATCGTCGCCCTCGTGACCCCAAGGTAAAGATGCAGCTCCCCTTCACCGCACGATGTCAAGGCTTACACTAATTGTAGGATTCACCACCACCTGAGCCAACTCCACCACCTCCGCCAACACCTCCGCCCGCGCCGGTGATGCCCACACCAAGCGTACCCGCTGCCTCGTCGCATGTGTACGACCCATCAAGAAGTTACTCCATTGCGCAAGCCCCCACTCTCACCCCAATGCCTGCTGCAACGCCTCAACACAATCACATTGCGCCTGCATACACGCCAACTCATGCACAGCACTATCACTCTCACTCGCAGTCGCCAGCACCGCACATCCACCAGCAGGTTGCCCAAGCACCAGCCTACCAACCCATCACGCCCCACGTCCCCTTCACCCCCCAGCCCACTGCGCCCATGCAGTCATTCCAAACCCCTCGTCCAACACCCGCCGGCTACCAACAACCCTACCCCCAGCATCCAGCCTCGGGCTACAAGGCTCCGCAGCCCATTGAAGTCTATGTCCTCAACGACCACGCCAACGCCGGCATACCAGAAGACATACGCCAGCAATTCCAGCGCGACGACAAGGGCCGCGTCCTCTTCTTCACCGCCCCCCCACTCAACATCCATCAGCCCCTCACCAAAGACGGCCATGCCCTCGGCCACTCAGCCCGCTACCTCGCCGCCAAAGCAAGGAAAGAAGCCCTCCGGGCCGCCAAACGCAAAGCCGACGACGCCACCCTCGACCCGCGCCAGACCACGGCGAAACAGGCAAAAGCCACAGAGACACAACTCCAATCCGCCATCCACCAACTTGGCCTCAAGGCCCTCGGCGCACTCGAGGACCAGCTCGCCGCTGCGACAAAGGCTGAGCTTCAAGATGCGTTTGGGGCGCGCGCGGACTCGGCGCTGCGGGTTTTGGTGGATGAGTTGGCCGAGGCGCAGGTCCGGGCTGGGCGGGCGCAGGTCGAGCGGGCAAAGTATGTGGAGGGGAGGGAGAGGGCGAAGAGGGTTGCTGTGAGGGGGATGACGGGGCGGTTGGAGGATAAGTATTAGGTGTTGGGGTTTTTTTTCTCTCGGTTGAGTGGAGGTGGAGGTTCTGGGGTTTTTTTCGGTAGAATGGGTGGTGGAGAGTGTGGGCCCTTTTAATGTTCTCCCAACCTACTTATCCAAGTCTGTCTTTTTCTTCACTTTTCATTCCAAGGACGGGGATTATATGGAAGTGCGTAGAGATGGACATGGACATGCACTGCACATGGTCATTCAAAAACTTCCTCATCTTCCCACCTTTAACCTACTCCTCTTTTCTCCTCCCCTGCTTTTCTCCCCCCTCTCTCTTTCTCTCTCTCTCTCTTGTCGAAAAGCTAGTTTGCAGGTGGAGTGAGTACGACTAGTGAGGTGTGTTTTCTTTTTCTTTTTTTTTTGCTTGGGGCTGGGGGTGTGAGTCTGGGTGTGGGTGTGGGTGTGAGTAGTGGGCATGGATATTGGAATGTGAACCGAAACTGGAGTTTGGGTTGAACCAAGACAGGCACAGTGCATCTTGAGTAGTACTCCTCTGATTTGGCGTGTACTTTATATGTAGTTCAAGGCCATGTACCTAGGTTCTTGACTCTTGATTCTTGCTTCTCATCTCATCTCCTAGCCATGTTTATCCACATCATTACAGTTACTTGGTATCCCCACTACCATTTTACTGGCAACACTCTGTACAACAGACGCGTCCAAAGTCTCTCAAGTCTCCAAAGCTGAAAAGTCCAACAGTCAAAAGTTCAACAGGTCATGGTCTCCAAAGTCTACAATTCAAAAGCTCAAAAGCTCAAAAGCTCAGAGATTGCAAGACTTCTTCAATATACCATGGTATACCATGACAATGGTATGAATATAAAGGTATGAATATAATACAATACATCAACATGATGCTACGCTATGCTATTACTTTGCTATTGCTGGCCTGCAACACAAGTTCCTTCTCTTTCTTCTCTTTTCCCCTTGATTACAATGACGGTTATTGCAAGCCATCTTGGCTTCAATCAAGCCATCTCCACTCAAGTCAAGCCCATTGCCCAATGTCCCCCTTTCTGATTGCCTACTCCCCACCCTAGTCCCCTCCAAACATGTCCGCCACACCACCCAGCTCCGCACTCCCACCCCTCACTATCCTCTGGCTTGTATCCTCCTCCATACGCATATAGCCCTCCATCAACTTCGTCCGGCCCTTAGCCACACCCGCACCCGCACCCGCACCCGCACCCGCACCACCAGCCGCCCCAGCCCCACTGCGCCGAATCTTGCCCTGCTCATGGATCCCCACGCCGCGAACGCCCTGTAACAGATCCAGCACCACACTCCTCTGCGTGCGTTCGTCCCTCGGCCCGTTCCGCAAGCGCGCGAGCCTGCGCTCGACCCGCGCTCCATCCTCGAGGCCCGGCAGACCGAGGACAATCTGCCGCGTGACCTCCTCGTCCAGGTGAATGATGCCGGCGATGAGGCTGGCGAGATCCTTTTGGCAGTCGACAAAGTAGGGTTCGTGTAGCGAGGAGATTGCGGATTTGAAGATGTCGGTGCAAAAGTAGGTGCGTATGGGCGAAGCGGATTTGAAGTGTGGGAGCAGAGAGCGCAGGACGCGGATGGTGGTGATGACGGAGCGGGTGTCGTGGACGCGGATGGTTGAGGTGCAGAAGAGGAGGATGGGCTCGAGGACAGAGGGTGTGGTGAGGATGAAGGTGTGCATTGGCGGCGCGTTGCAGTCTCGTCGGGGCTCGTCTTCGGGGCGCGTGTACTCTGTTTTTTTCGATCCGTTAGCGAGATGTCATTCTCCATGTCCAATTGTGACCTCGAACTATGCAACGAGTGAAGGATGATAGAAGGAAAGAGAAAGGAGACATGACAGACGAACCTTGTCTACCATCCAACAGGACAGCCACCAGCGAAACACTCGAGTACGTCAACTGCCTCAGAATACTCTCCGTCTTCATCTCATCCGTCAAGTTATCATTCTCCCCACTCTCGGCAACTTGGCGGGCAACCTCATTCCACTCGGAGCTAATCTTATGATCCAGCTCGCGGAACAAGCCTTGAATCATCGGCGGCAGAAAATGCGCGCGCAAATCCGGCGGACAGCCTTCAATGAGATGTGTCGAGACAGTCAGCAGGACAGAAAGATGGTGGGCCGTCAGCGCCCCAGCGTGGCCGAATAGCGCTTGGCTGAGGGGCCCGGGTAGGTCCTGTATGCCGTAAAAGACGTCTCGGAAGCGGGTGAGTGAATACAGAATGTAGTACGAGGATTCTCTAATCTGGCGCACGGTTCCACGTACCGTCGACGCAAAGCCCTCGAATGTAGACTTTGAGCCGCTGACGCGGGCAAAGAAGTCGTCGCGGCTTTCGGTGGAGATGCCCGCTTGCCAGAAACGGTCGGTGAGTACGCGCTTGATGACTTGCTGGAGTTCCGGGGGCAAGTGAGACCAGTTGTGATCAATGTCATTGAACGCTTGGGCATGACTGACGAGCTGGAGCAGGTTCGGCAGGAGGACTGGAATAGCCTCTGCCCACAGAGCGGCAGCTGTCTCGTATGCCGGCGAGCCATCACGTAGCTTCTCCGTCGACGCCGCAAGCAAGGTCTTGGTCAATCGCAAGGGGAGATGCTGTGATCGCTCCAAAATGTTAGCCTGCAATGCCTGGCCATCACCCGGCAGTGTCTGCTCAGACCAATCCTGCACAGCTCGGAAGTTGTTGGCTGCCAAAAAGTCCGGCAGCTGTCCCATACCCAGGACCCCACAAAAGGACTGCAACGAAGAGATGGCCTGCGTGAATTCATCGTTCCGCCAGGCCTCCTTGACCTGGTTGAGCATCTGTCGCATGCGCTCTTCCTGCGTCGAGCGGTCTAATGTTGTGCATCTATGTATGATTATGAAAAGGAAAGCAGAGTATGCCATGCGTTGGCGTTCATCGGTCGTGGGATCACTGATCATTTCATTAATCTTGGCCTCGAGCTGGTCGTATACGCTCATAAAGTCGTCGGCAAACTTCATCGCGAGTTTCTGCATTTCCAAACTGCACATGCGCTCCAGGTCCTTGACTGCATCAGAGTACAAAGCAAAGGAAGTGTCGTCTGCTAGCCGTATGGTGAGCATATATTCCAAGAAACTCAAGGCAAACGCTGGACGGTCGCCAAGAGCTTTTGTAGACAGCGTGGACATGAGTGAGATGATCTTGCGTGCAATCTCTGGGTCCTCGAACCGAGCCTGCAGAATCTGGCGTCCCCACTGCTCTAGTGAGTTCTCCAAGGAGATTCGTTCGCGCTCATTCTCTGGTGTTGACTCTTCAGCTTGGGCTTGCAGCCATTTCATGTAGCCCTTGAGCGCTGCCTCGATGACCGTGACTTGTGCATCCACCTGAAGCACTGGGTATGCATTCTTGGAGAATGTACGGGGCTGGAAAGCAGGGTGTTCGCGGTATAAATTCTGAAGCATACTCGTGGCCTGCGCGAGAATGTGCTCCAGGGCTTCCACGGGGGTCCTTCGCACCAATGTCTCCACAACGTCGGCGCAGAACCTACGGTAGTTTCCCAAAAAGGCGTGGCGTTCTGGAACAGTGTCAATGTCCTCGTTCAAAAACTGTAAAGTAACATCTTCAGACTCTTCCGGAAGGTTTTCGTAGCGGACTAGCCGTGCACAACATGTCTCTAAAAGGCCACCGACCATGGAATTAACGACCTCGGAGTCGCGCACGATGCGTGACCGCAAGAGTTTTGTCCAACAGTGCAGGACAGGTATGGATACAACAAGACTTGGGTTGCGCATAATGTCATAGAGGAAGCCAAAGATGCCAGGGAGATCGCTACCGTCGGGTATGGCTTGCGGTTTCTGCTCAATGAAGAGTCCCAGGCTGTTTGCCAACTGTGTATGTCAGCCACCAACTACCGTAAGCTATGCCAGATGGAGAGAGTCATTGTACCTCGGAAAGCTTCTTGCAAAGCGTGTACTTTTGGTCATCAATCGCATTGACATCCATGTCCGCCAGTGTCCAATTATATACTTCTCGCAAGAGCGAGACGCTTCCGGGTGTGAACATGGGGCAGACGAGCTCGACGAATTCGTTGTTGCTGAGGTGGTGTCGGCTATAGATGGCTTGTAGCACTTCAATGGCAGACTGTCGCTTGTTAGTGGCCATCCCGTGATGGAGGGTCATTTCATCATCGTCTTCTTCAGGGAATCATACCAATTGTATCTCTACAATAGGTACAGCCAGCGCCTTGCAGACGGCCTCGATGACCTGCGTTGCAACAATGGCCTTGGGTATTATCCAGGGCATAGCAGCTCTAAGCGAGTTCATCGTCTTGATTGCACATGTGCGAATGGCCTCTTGGTTCTGGTAGTCCTGGCCCAGACACCAGGCCAGATTATCACACAGCCTGCGTAGCCAGCCCTCTTCTCCACAACGTACTTGCAGACTTTTGTCTCGAGTTGGCAGCTGCTCGTGCAGGACGACGAGTGGAGTAAAGATCTCGACGCAGGCTCGGCCCAGATCGCTCCCTCTGAGACCGGCCGTGGCATCCTCACGATTGAAGACTTCTTCTGACAGCGTCTCGAGAACGTACAGGACGACGGCCTGGTGGTGCAGAGACACTGACCACAGCGCAACGAGCTGCTCGTCCATGTTCAGCCAGTCGTCGCCCCACGTCCGCTTCGCAATCTCCGTCCACAGCTGTGCGACCTTGTTCCTCAGATAGACGGGGTCGGCCTCGGATAGGGTCTGGGCCAGCTCCATGACGTAGCCCCTCAACAGCGTGCCCTGCTCGACGGTGAAGTCCTCCCAGTTGTACTTGATCGAGTACTCGAGCATGGTGAGGCCATAGTAGCGCAGCTGGGTGGGCTGTGAGCGATCGCGGGCCAGCGTGTGGCCATGCGAGGGCGCTTCGGGGTGTCTTTTTGCCAGCTCTAGGTATTCGGTCGCTTGCCGGCGCGTGTCGTTGGTGGATGAGTTTGCATAGATGGCCTGCAGGGCTTCGAGCACCTGCGACAGGTCCGAGGCACTGTTGCCATTCAGCTGTTGGCCATGCGCCTCGCCGCCGCCATTTGTGAATGCTGTTTGCGGGGTGAGGTCTGGCGCAGCATTCATGGTCGGAGGCGCGCGAATTCTCGCTGGGCGGCGGGGGAGGGGGAGGAGAAAAGCTGATGGCACGCGCGGCAGAGAACAAGGACTTCAGGCAAAAGCTACTATAGTACAGGCCTAGGGATTTGGCCAAGTCGGGGCGAATGGAAACGTCACTGGGGTTTGTTGGGCACTTTGGGTTGTTGTTGTCTCTAGCAGGTACGGTAACAGAGGATGACAAGCCTCGGAAGTTTGAATTACCGCAAGCGGGCAGGGTTTGGAGGGGCGTTTGAAGGAACCAGGTATTGGGCAAAAGTCTGCCAAAGGTTGTGAGGGTGAGGGGGGAGGAAGCCTGTAGCCAAGGTGGTGGGTGTGTGCAGATGGGTTCGCAAAAGCTTTGGCGCCCAAAATGTGTAAAGTTTACGGTACGGTACGGTACCGGTACGGGTGGTACGCCTAGAGCAGACTCAGCAGAGGGCGCTGGCGGTGAGGCGTTTGTGGGCTGAGTGGCATTCGTCTTTGCCGTTTCATTACCTACGGTGCACACATGCCGGCGGTACATGTCAGAGAGAAAGAGAGACGGCATCAAAGCACACAGGTTTGGTTTGTTGTTGGTGTTGGTGAATGGGCATGAGCTGTTGATTGCTGTTTTTTTTTTTCCCTACTTGTGACTTGAATACCTAAGATACCGGTAGTAGGTAGGATGGCTGCATACGTATAGGATACGTGGATGGAGATTTACCAAACAGATTATGAAGGTGGACTAGAGTTGGAGATTGGCCTATTCACTGCCTACAACATGGTATTCCCTGGGTGTTTGTATCGAGTGCCCAGGGGCGCAAGAACGCGCTTTGCCAGGCTTCCTTCCGCTTCCGAGCTTTGCTCCTTCCATGCCGCGTTCCAGGCCAGGCGCGTGTCCCAGCAACGCGGTGTCAGCTGCCTTGCGCCCGGCTACTCCTAGGCTTGTCACCTCTTGCAGTCCAACATCATCACTCTTGTACGGTACTCCTGGTAAGAGTAGATGGGTCTCGTTCCCAGTGCTTCCAGTGGCAATACATGTACCCAGTACATAATCAGCTACACAGCAAGTCACTGTATACTATCCATATCGCTCTACTGGACCAATCTTGAAAGAAACCAAAGAAGAAAAAAACACCCAAAAAATCCCTCGACAATCTCCCACTTCCCACTGGCCACACCGGCCACATTGGCCAACACCGCCAAATCACATGTGCGCCAAAAATGCTGACCTGCGTGATCGTCACCTGACCCGACAATCGCACGACATGACATCACCGTGCATTCACATCCCACAATCGCCTCCAACAACACCTTCATCCTCTGCCATCCTTTACACACACACACACACACACACACACACACACACACACACACAGCACATCCATCAAACATGCCCTAAACTACATGACCGCGCATGCCTGTCGCTGGCATTGCTGCAGATATCCCTCATCCTCCTCCATCCCTACCGCCGTCCCTGGCTTGCGAATCACCCCCTTGACCAGGAGGCTCTGGTCGCCCTCTGCGTGCCACCACGTCAGCAACTGGACAAGAGCGCCGTCCCGTTCTTCCGATTTGATGGTCCACTTTCCGCCGCTGACTTCAACACTCGTCTGGCCGGAGGGGAAGTGGAATTCTGGCAAAAAGCAAATCGTCGGCGCATCTTCCGACGTCGAACTGGGAGCTGAGAGTGCCAGTGTGAAGGTAGACGACTTCAGGTCAAAGCCATACGACACCACGTCACCATGCACCGCAACAGGCGTAGGACGGATGAAGGCTTCTGCAGCACGCAGACCTCGCACATCCTCGTCTGTCTTGCTCGACGTCATTCGCTCTTGGGTGACTGTCCGTTGTAGAGTAGACGGCGTGACACTGACCGTGTCTGACGACTGCGTCTTCGAAAAGGAGGGCGAGTCCATGTCGAGCGATGCCCGTGCGTCCGAAGACGAGAAAGGGCCTGCGGGTACCGCCTTGTCGTCCAGCGAGTAGATGGACAGATCCTCACCATTCCATAGGTCACCCCAGAAATGGTTGTTCTCCTCGACGTTAGCTAGAGTACTCACACTGCATCCCCATCAAAGAATAGTAAGAATACACATACGTTGGTAACATAGGTCCACAGCGCAAACCCATTCGCCTTGCTGTCTTCGAGCGCAAAATGGTTGGCGTCCAGCGCCGCAATCTGGCTACTGTAGTTGCCCGTCTTGTAGGCATACTTGCCATCCATGTCATAAGGAATGCCAATCTCCGTGAAGACGCAGGGATGGATACCCGTAAACTCTGTGCCCTCTTCTCGAATCGACTTGAGTTGGTGGGAAAAGCAGTTTCGGATCGCATTCTCGCCAATCTTGATCGCAAAGGCGGGGGTGAGGTACTTTCCTCGCAGCACACCAAACACGTCAATGTTCCATACCCGATTCCACTTCTTCGTTATCAACGTGATGCCGTCGTAGAAATGTGGCGAGAAGATCAGGTTCGGATCATCGTCCTCGGTGCCCTTGATCGTCGGGGGTATCTCGAGCACTGGCGGCTGGAAGAACATGAGCGAGTCTGGGAAGATCGACTTGATCATCTTGCTGTACGATCGGTAGTGCGGCAGCCAGTAGTGGTTGGTAAAGTATTCGTAGTCAATCTTGGCCCCGCCTTTCTTCGGATCCTTTCCAAAGTAGTCCTTCTTGAGGACTGTGTCGGTTGCCGGATCCCACACTCCATGCTGTGCCCACAAGCACTCTCCAAGCCGCCACCCTGGATCGCGCTTCCATCCATACTTGCTGTCATCGTAATCTGCTGATAGCCACGCACTCTTCCCTTGGGGATCAATCAATACCGTCCCGCTCTTGTACGGCCCAAGACCGCCAAACTCCCATGTCGCAATCTCGCAAGCTCTTCCCGATCCGGTCAAGATGGCCTGCCACGCCGTTGGAGAGGTGCCCTTTTGCAACTTCTGCTCTGTCGGGATTACTGTAATATCCTGATAGCTAATCAGGCCCCTGTTGGGTTCATTCAGGCTTTCCCAACCGACAATGGGGTCGTGCCATAGGCCACCTGCATCTCTTATCCGCTTTGCAAAGTGTTCGATCGCTCCAAGATAGTGGTCCAAAAGGTAGTCTTGAATGTTCTTACCATCGATGATGGCTTTGGGCGCAAAGTCTCGTCCTCCAAAGAACAATGTCCACAAGACCTGGCATGCCAGTCGGGTGTAGTTGGTTGTCCAAATCATCTTGGGGAAGGTGGCGGGATCGGGGTAGGTGTTGTGCACGAGAGCAGCTTCGGTGACGGCGAACATCTCTGGATCCAGTCCACAGGCATAGATGGTCCACAAGGGTGCTCCTGAGCCTCCCGAGAACCGTGACCACTGCCTAGCTGTTAGACGAGACGAAAAGAACTATAGTGGCACATGACGACATACTACATCCTGGTGCGGATCCATGAAGATGTAGAAGTTGTATTCCTTTGCCTTGCGTAGTATAGCAATGGTATGGTCTATCCACTCTTCGTCGTACTTTCCTGGCCCCGCATGCTCTATTGCCTCCCATGTGAAGATGTACCGTAGGGTGTTGTATCCCCAGCCTCGGAGCCGCGCAAAATGGGAGTCTGCATCTTTCAAAGGGAACGGTCGGTTCACAAAGGAGACATTGTCGCCATCGAAGAACTTGTCGGATACGTGTGAGGGCAGGTCTGGTGTGGCAGGCTGTTTGGCGTCTGCAGCCATGTTGATGCCATGGAGGATGACCTCACGGTTCTGGGGGTCGCGGAACGTGCGCCCGTCGATGCGCAACTTCATGGTCGACATGGTGGTGGCGAGTAAAGCAAGGTAGGTATGGATGGAGAGTAGAGTACGGAAAGGACGGGGTGAAAGCAAAGTGAATGTATTGAAAAAGAAGAAAAGGAAAAGGAAAAGGAGAGAGAAAAACTGAATCACTAGACAGGCCGCAGAGGGAGTAGGTAGAGCAGACACTCTAGACACTGGCTAGCGTGTCGAGTGTATTATGTCTACCTATAGGTTAGAGAGTAGGATGCAGGAGTAGTATGTGCGTGCGGGAAGTGATGGATGGGCAACAACAGGAAGGGAACGAACGAACGCCGCTTGCGTGGGACGGCGTCATAGGCCCGCACCTTTCCCCCACGGATAGCGGTAAGGCTGTGGCAGTGGACCCTGAAAGCGCGCGAAGCCTCCCCGTTAACCCCGTCGCAAAAAGGCCACCTTGTCACGACTCACGACACGTTTCCTTCACACTCACCTGCCCACACGGCATGACTTATAAACAACACCAGACACCCCATACACCCGCCCCCGCCCCCATCCTTCCCAACCCATAGTAAGTAGTCTTTGTCTCCCCCATCACCCGCCGATTCCGCGACGACTACAATCTCTCCACATCATGATACTGCGACTGTCATCCCTCGCCTTGGGCTTGCTCTCGGCGAGTCCTCTGGCATGCGCACTGTCCGCCGCAGACATCCCCGCAGACCTGCCCGTGTCGCAGCTGATCAAGGATGCCGGCGTGAAGCTGGCGACGGGCGAAACCCACGATGCTCTTACCTACTTCGACGTGGCCATTTCGCGCGACCCGCAAAACTACATGACGTACTTTCGACGCGGCGCCGCATACCTCTCCCTTGGGCGCACTACCCAGGCACAACACGACTTTGACAAGGTGCTGGAACTGAAGCCTGGGTTCGAAGGCGCACTTGTGCAGCGAGCCAAGATTAAGGCTAGAAAGGCCGACTGGGCTGCGGCGCGCAAAGACTACGAGGCTGCAGGCAAGACGGCTGAGATTGCGGAGCTTGATGAGGCCCAGGGCGCTGCCATACTTGCGCAAGAGGCGGCTGACAAAGGCGATTGGGAGGCCTGCGTCAGCCACGCGGGCACTGCCATTGTCGTCGCAGGTGGCGCACATGACATCAGGAAACTCAGGGCAAGGTGTCGCTTCGAAAAGGGCGAGGTCATCGAGGGCATCAGCGACCTGCAGCACCTCCTGCAAATCAACACGGGCGACATCGAGCCTCACCTTCAGAGCTCCGCCATGGCCTTTTACTCTCTGGGTGAAACCGAGAAAGGGCTCAAACACATCGCACAATGTCTCCAATCAGATCCTGACTCAAAAGTCTGTATGAAGCTCCGACGACGCGAAAAGAGCCTGGAAAAGAGCCTGAAGAAAGTCCGCAGCTTCTTCTCAAAGCGCCAATTCGCCACTGCGTCCAAGCTCCTCATTGACCGTGGCGAAGAAGAGCCAGGCCTGTTGAAGGAGGTCAAGCAAGATTTCCAGGACTACGTTGCGGCAGGCTATATCTATCCCTCTGCACCGCAAGGCCTGTACCAAGAGCTCGTCGAAATGACTTGTGAAGCCTACATCGAAATGAACAACTTCAAAAAGGGCGCACCTTACTGCACCGAAACACTTCAACTCAACCCCGACTCCCTTCACGGCGCCCTCTACAAAGCACAAAAGGAAATTGAAGCCGATGACTTTGAAGCCGCGATCCGCACCCTCGACCACGCCAAGGAACACCATCAATCACAAAAACTGAATGAACTCTACAACAAAGCACACACGCTGCTCAAACGATCAAAAACAAAAGACTACTACAAAGTCCTAGGCGTATCCCGGGATGCAAGCGAGAGGGAGATCAAGAAGGCCTATCGCAAGCTGTCCAAGCTCTTCCACCCAGACAAGGCAAGCGCGAATAACATTACACCCGAGGAAGCGCAGAAGAAGATGGCGGCTGTCAACGAGGCGTATGAAGTCCTCTCTGACCCAGAGCTCAAGGAGAGGTTTGATCGCGGCGATGATCCAAACAACAACGAGCAGCAAGGACATCCATTCCAGGGCTCACCCTTTGGCGGTGGACAACAATTCATGTTCAGACAAGGCGGAGGGTTCCCTGGCGGAGGCCAGTTCAAGTTTCAGGGCGGTGGGTTTCCTTTCTAGGCTTGTCTTTGGTGCAGTCCCATTTGTAGAGACCTGGTGTTTGATGGCGTAGTTCTTGGATATTGTTCATCGAGCACAATTAGGGAGGACAAGGGTTTTACGGCGCTTTTACTGATTCAATGTATATGATATGATGTCATCTTTTTCTGTTGTTCGAATACCGTTGTAGCAGCCACATGAAAACTATGGCGTGAAAACCGTAATCATTACATTTCAATCTTCTTCTCGTCTCTGTAATGTAGACAGCCGTGCCCTTGAGATCATGACAATATAGGTGGTGTGCCCAGGTGGTACCTGAAGCTTCACGAGTCATTGCCTTTACGTGCACGTGCTGATAAGACCCGATAACATTCACGGGCCAACCCTGCTCCCCAACTTTTTTCCCAGCCTGGCATCCAAACACGTGCAAACCCACACACCATGGCACGATACCAACCACCAGCAATTGCAGCTCCCAAGCGCAAATCCAAGAAGAGAAAAGCACGCACAGAAGGTACATCTTGGCTGCCCAGAATGCGATTCTTCAACTTTTGCTGATTAGTGCGCCAAGTTTCCTCTTCGAGTGAAAGCGATAGCGATAGCGATGTCGAGGTGCCGAGGGAAAAGAACGAGAGTGTAAAGGCTGGTGCTGTGGTTAAGGTATGTTTGAAGGGGGTACGTTTGCACATTGTTTTTGGGGAGACTGACGAGAGGGAAAGGATGTGTCGACTTCGTCTGCGCCTGTGCATGTGGCAGCTCCAGTAGTGGAAGAGGGAACCATGTCTAAATCTGCAAAGAAAGAGAAGAAAAAGAAGAAAGACAAGAAATCTCGGTCATCGATAGCAGCAGCACAGGAACAAGAGTCTACTACCGATGTCACCATGCAAGACGCCACTTCCTCAGCGTCAATGTCACCCGCACCAGCACCAGCGCCAGCATCTACGAGCAGCACAACCACAAAGTCAAACCCATCCAAGCCTGCCAAACCAGCCCCCGAACCTCGAGAAGATTTCGAAGCACTCTATCTTCGCAAGGTAGCTGCCGAACTAGCAGATGACCTTGACAAAGTACGCGAGGCGCAGGATTTCAAGGCGAGTAGTGTGCCGATGCTTATTCATGCATTGAAGCAAGGTAGTGCTTTGTTTAGTGCCGAGGAAAAGAGGAGGGTTATTGGTGCTGTGGTTTGAAAGAGGGTGAAGGAGGGATGGGAAAGGGTGGATGGGTGGAGTTGCTGGAGTAATTTGTTGAAATTGGATACATGAGCATGTACAAGGTGTGGGAAGTACACGGTATGTATGTAGTTCCCGTTACGCATCTACATCGTGATCCCCAGTCCGACTCCCGCACCCGACCGCTCAAACGCCCTTCGTACCGTCGTGATCAAATCCGAATCCCAATTCCGAGTCTCGCCAACATAGTCCTAATACGCCTCCAGCTCCAATCCAGACCGCCACTCCAACTCGATATTCCACGCCAACAGATACGGATGCTTGATGACAACCATGTCATGCGCCAACCGCATCACCTTCTCCCTCTTCTCTCTTTTCTGTCCCGCCGGCAGCACAAGCAACGTCTCATACGCGCGCCGCAACAATCGCTCCTCATAGTCCCTCCTCAACTCGTCATCATTCGTCCAATTAATCAGCTCCTCGTATAAACCCTCGAGCGGACTCGCCGCAAAAACCTCGTGCTTGACCGCCGCCGTTGTCGTCTCGAGCGTTGCGCCCAAGCGCTGTCGCCGCTCATCAATGAGGCGCTGGATTGTGGCTTCTTCGGCGACCTCGTGGATCTCCGCAATGCGTGCGTAGGTTGCGCCCGGTGCGGGGAGCCGGCCCTCGAGGTAGGCGTAGATGGGGGAGGAGGGGAGTTGGGTGGCTAGTGCGCGTGCGTATTGGGGTTTTGTGCCATGGCGCCGGGCGTGGTCGACGAGTTTATCGATTGCGGTTTGAGAGCGGTGAGCGTCGTCGCTGGATGGTTGATTTTATTAGCTTCGTTCTTGTATTGTGGTATATGCGGGCGACGAGGGGAAAATGTACAGGTTCATGTAGAGCTCTGCGAGCTTGAGTCCGACATGGATGTTCTCGTCTACTTTTGACGGCCCCAGACCCTCATACAGGCCCCTCAGTCCCAGCCATGCTTGCGTATCGTCTGGCTTGATGGCCGTCGCGTCCATGTATGCCCGCGCAGCTTCTTCGTGTTTCCCCAATCCATCATTTGCACGACCCAGGAACAGTTTGGCAAAGTAATTGTTGGCGTCTTTCTCTAGCACTGCGTTTGCCTGCTCAATCGCCTCATCCCACTTCTTGCTGTCGATGGCGGCTTTCGCGGCCTTGAGTGCGGCTTTGGTGGACATGGTGGCTGTGAAGTATATGTAAGAATGATAGTGTGCCGGTTTGAACGGGCGCTGTCGGGGGGGGGTTTATGAGTAGGAGGCCATCGAGCTGAGGATGAATAGACGTTTGGTCGCGGCAGTCTACGTAGCGTGGAAAGCGAGGAGAGATGCACAAGCTAGAGATTAGGGTGGACCCATTCACAGGCTTTATTCGGTGGAATGATAGAAGCAACGTTGTGGAATTAACTATCTCTTATTTGGTCAACAATGCCTTCGTTTGCCCGTCTCTGGTCCATTCGCACCGTGGTGGGGGGGGGGGGGGGGGGGGAGTGATATCAATGCGCACAAATGACGCGCTGTGCAGCCTGTGCTCTAGTTTAGTGCGTACCGGTACAGTTATGGTGGATTCAGCCCTACCGGTACCTACGAGAAGGCACAAACATTCAACCCCAATCGCCGTGTCCCGCCACGAACCAACTTTCTTACCCAGCTTTGCCGCTCCGCACACTTCTTTTCGCAATCTGTTTCCATCATTTCAGCATTAGGGCGACTTCCATTGGCTTGAGCTGGTCTAGGTAGTCATCGAAAGTCATGGCGTCACATGTTGACAGTGCCCATGACCTTTTGGACCTGGACATATCCATATTACGCCAATATGTCACCCTGTTCCCGGCAGAGGGCCTGTCCAAGGTCATTACAGGATGGCTGAGTAGTGGGATATCCAAATACCCTCTCTCGGCGGAAGGAGACGAAGACAACCGACCGGATCTGAGCGAAGGCGGGGTATCCCTTGTCCAAGATGTACCAGTCTCGCAAGAGGACTGTTTGGTATTGATGACAGTAAGTGCAGGCTCAACAGTTGGACCGGGCCATCATGTGCTGTATACTGACATTTTATAGGAGGGCATAAGCGAATGCGAAAAGTCACCATTGGCACATTGCTTGCTTGCAGATTTCTACCTCTCACTTGAAGAATATGAAAGTGCAGTCGAAAGCGCCCGCAAAGGCCTAAAGTATGCTGCGATAGAGGCGAAGAAGACCGACCTGTCGTTTCAAAGGACTCGCGATGCTCTCAACAGTACTCTTGCCACCGCTCTCGTCTACTACCAGGCTCCAAGGAATCATCAAGAAGCAAAAGAGATATTTCAAGGAGTCCTTAAGCGCAAACCAAAGTTCACAGCTGCTTTGATAGGTATCGGCCTTGTGCTCGAAGAAGAAGAAGAGTACGAGCAAGCTTTCCAGTTCCTTGAGAAAGCATTGCAGCAAGATCCATCAAATGGCCGCATTGGCGCTGAATCGGCGTGGTGTCAGGCGCTCGCCGGTGACTACAAGACAGGACTAGAAAAATTGCAAGGTTACCTAGACTATCCACAGCTAGATGCCTCAAAGCAGCGTGGCCGTGAGCTCCGCGCGCAAACACTCTATAGAATAGGGGTTTGCATATGGGAGCTCGACACTTCCAAGGCTGCACGTAAGGATCGAAATGGAGCTTACGCAAAGCTACTTGCGGCCATCAAAGCGAATCCAAACTATGCACCGCCCTACACCTTGCTTGGCATCTTCTACGAGGATTACAACAAAGACCGCAAACGTGCGAGACAATGCTTCCAAAAGGCGTTCGAGTTGTCCCCATCGGAGATTGTCGCAGCCGAGCGTCTGGCAAGGCTATTTGCCAACCAGGGAGAGTGGGACATTGTGGAAGTCGTAGCGCAACGAGTCGTAGACTCAGGCAAGGCCCGCCAAGTACCCGGTTCAAAGAGGAAGGGAGTCAGCTGGCCATACTCAGCTCTTGGTGTTGTTCAAATGAACAAGCAAGAATATCAAAAGAGTGTCGTCTCATTCTTATCGGCACTCCGCATTAGCCCGGACGACTATTACTCTTACGTCGGTCTCGGTGAGAGCTACCACAATTCTGGACGCTACAACTCTGCCTCGCGGGCTTTCAATTACGCCGAAAACCCCGGTGATGGAATCGTATTTAAGAAGACGGAGGATGAGAGTTGGTTTACAAAGTACATGCTCGCCAATGTCAATCGTGAACTGAGCGAGTTCGATGAAGCGCTTGCTGGGTATGAAGCAGTCTTGGCAAAACGGCCCAAGGAATTTGGCGTGTCTATCGCTCTACTGCAGACACTTGTAGAGAGGGGCTGGCACTGCATCCAGACGGGCTTTTTTGGTGAGGCAGCAGATAGTGCGGTTCGAGCCATCGAGGTTGCGGCGCTGATAACAGAGTACAAGCCCGACGCTTTTAATCTCTGGAAGGCTTTGGGAGATGCTTGCAGTCTGTTCACTTGGGTACAAGAAAAGCTGGTCGACTTCTCGGCTGACAAGGTCGAGCAAATCCTCAGCAGCAAATCGGATGTTGGTGTCGACTATGATGAGCACAAGGATATCGACGGTGTCGGAAAGGAAGCGTTGTCGTCACTATCACCAGGGAAAGACGATGCGTTAACCAAGGTGATTTGTGCCTCTATCCTTGCACAGAAACGAGCGATATCGAGCTGCGCCAATGATATCCATGCACAAGCAGTGGCATGGTACAACCTCGGATGGACAGAGTATCGAGCACATGTCTGCCTAGAGCAGGAGACTCACGATGAATCGCGGCTTACATCTTTCCTGCACGCTGCAATGCGATGCTTCAAGCGTGCAATAGAGCTCGAGGCCGGCAACTCTGAGTTTTGGAACTCGTTAGGTGTGGTTACGACAACTTTGAGCCCAAAGGTCGCCCAGCACGCGTTCGTTCGTTCTTTACATCTGAACGAGCGAAGTGTGCATACATGGACGAATCTGGGAGCATTGTACCTCCTACAAAACGACACAGAGTTAGCACACATGGCCTTTTCGCGAGCACAATCTCAAGATCCAGACTATTCGCTTGCATGGGTCGGGGAAGGCATCATCGCTCTCCTGACTGGAGAAGCCACTGAAGCGCTCTCCCACTTCACCCACGCCTTTGAATTGTCTGAATCATCCTTACTCTTAACGAAACGCCAATACGCCGTCTCAACATTCGACTTTCTCGTTTCCTCATCTTCCACATCGAGCGACATCACAAATCTCATACAACCTTTGTTCGCTTTGCAGCAGATCAACTTACAAGCACCATACGACATTCCACACAAGCATCTCGCTGCGCTATTCCTGGAACGTGTTGGTAACCATGACGCCGCAGTCACTGCTCTCCAGGCCGTCACAGCAACAGTGGAAGAAGACTACGAGAAATCCGAATCCCTAATCGCACTTGCCCGCGTTGCCCAAGCGAAGACAGATCTTGCGCGAAACTTCCTCGCTACAGACGCTGTATCTACCGCAATAGAAGAAGCAGAAACCGCTCTGGATCTCCTCTCTGAACTCGACGATGACACGTCCCAGTCTGCGTTGACAAAAGAACAGCTTGCTAAGGTCAAGCTATCAGCGCGTCTTACAGCTGGTCTCGCACAGTACTTTAGCGGTGCCCTCGACGCAGCGATCCCATATTTCCGCACTTGCCTCGAGGCCACAGGCTCAAACCCCGACATCATCTGTATCCTTGCCGAAGTTCTCTGGGCCAAGGGTGGAGAAGACGAGAAACAAGTTGCGCGAGACCAACTCTTCACCGCCGTCGAGAAACACGAAGGCCATGTCGGACTTTTAACGCTCATCGGCGCTATGACCGTCCTCGACGACGACACTGAAACCATGGAAGCTATTAAGGACGACCTCGACCGCCTGCGCACCAATAAATCCATTAGCGACATGCAACTCGCACGTGTCGAAAAAGTCATTGAAGCCATGTCGATCTGCCTCGGGCCCCAAGACGACGCTCTACACGACGCTCGCCGTAGTGTTATGCTCGCGCCGTGGAAACACACAGGCTGGAGTGAACTCGCGGATTCAGCGGATGATGACTCATTTGCGCGGACTATGTCGTTGCAGACGGCGGTTAAGAGTGCGCCGCCTAGGGGGGTCTTGGGCGCGCTGGAGTTGGCGGGGACGATGGCTAGGACAGGGAGGGTGGGGGATGCACAGAGGGCGGTTGTGATGGCGCCTTGGGGAGTGGAGGGGTGGAGGACGCTGGGTCACAGTGTGGGTGTTGATGTTGGGGCGGACTAGAGGGGAAGAGGGTGTTGATGGAGTGGAGTGTTTGGAGGAGTCGCGGGAGAGTGTTGATGTTATTGCCTTGGGAGGATGTAGGCCTTCGAGGCTTTGGTTGCACACAGCGAGAACCCCTGTATGAGAATCTGGGCCTGGAGCCTGGAGATCGTCGTACACGGATGCAGGAATAATATCACAGACAGTCAGCTAGTCAGCTTAGTGTTCTGCCCTATAAATATCTCAACAGGACTCATCAACTAACTCAGTTTCCTCTCTCCTCCCAAGCCTTAGCAATATCTAAATACCCACGATACTCAAACCCATCATCTCTTCTCACCCACAAAGTCAACTGAAACCCAACCGAACCTCCCACCTCTCACACTTTCAAACCCTTTTGTAGCGGTAGTATGACTTGGAGCGCAAGTCCTGGTTATTATGTGTGGCCTTTCTTTCCTATGGTTTTAGAAGATAGACATGGGCAGTTTTAAGATTCTGGGGATGGATGGGTGGGGATGAAGGTTCTTGGAGGACAGACTGGTAGAAAATGATACACGAACAAGATAGCTCAACCTGAATTTGATCCAGACTGGGCTAGGCAGAGAAATATTAATGCACTAATCCGACGATGACTCCTTTCCTGGCTACCTTGATTGTACTCGCTGAGGTTGATGAAGTTAATCTCGGAACTATCGGAATACCGTACGGTAACTTATATGTGCGGTTATTGCAGGCCTTCGGAATGGACCCGTTACAACTCATCCCACCTTTTTCAGACTTCTACTGTAGGATTCTGAATTCTACTGCGCACAGGTTACCGTTCTATAAGACCTTTGCTCGATTACAAGCTGCGTCTTGACTCGAATCTTCCTCCGGTTCCTCTGGAAAGAATAGCCATCAATCTCATCACAATCAGGCCTTGACCCAAGTTCACGCTACAATCATGGCCCCTCCTCCCGCTGCTGGTGTATGGTGTCCTGCAGTAACCTTCTACGACACCACGACCGCTCACCTGGACCTTGACGCCCAGAGGAAGTACTTCTCCTACTTGGCCAAATCCGGCCTAACAGGTCTCGTAATCCTTGGATCCAACGCTGAGGCCTTTTTGCTCACGCGCGATGAGAAGATCGCTTTGGTGAAGGCTGCACGCGAAGCAGTTGGACCAAACTACCCCTTGATGGTCGGCGTCAGCGGTTTCTCCCTTGCTCAAGTGCTTGAAAATATCAAAGATGCGGTCGCGGCAGGTGCAAATTACGGCCTGTTATTGCCAGCTGCTTACTACGGCGCTGCGACCTCCAAAGAAGTAGTAGTGGGCTTCTACGACGAAGTCGCGCAAAAGGGCGATCTACCAATTGTCATATACAACTTTCCTGGTATATGCAATGGCGTGGATCTGGATTCCGTCACCATCGCCGACCTTGCGAAACGTAACCCGGGCAAGATTGTGGGAGTCAAGCTGACTTGCGGATCCGTGGCGAAAATCACCCGTCTATGTGCAGAGCTACCTTCTGACAAATTCTCAACCTATGCTGGACAGGCTGACTGGCTGGTGGCTGGTCTTGCGGTTGGAAGTGCAGGCTGTGTTTCGGCGTTCAGCAACGTGTTCCCCAAAGTCTGCTCAAAAGTCTACGAATTATACACGAATGGCAAGACACAAGAGGCTCTGGAATTGCATCGAAAAGCCGCACTAGCTGAGAGCCCTATCAAAGCTGGTATTGCGCCCACGAAGCACGCTGTAAGCCAGTACAGCGCGAGGCTAGCTGGAATAGAGGGCGCGGAAGACAAGCTGAAGCCGAGACGACCATACCTACCCGTCAGTGATGCTATCAAAACGAGTGTCAAGAACGCAATGGATGAGCTGGCGGCAATCGAAGAATCTTTGTGATTCATGGGTAGATAAGGTATGTAGCTGTATATCTATCCGACACCTTGTCGAAGAGTTAGTCAATCTTCGTATCAAGCTGATCGACTTCGTCTTCCGACAATCTTGCGTGTGATCATGTCGAAAGCTCTACGCTTCTAAGCAAGTGAAGCCACAGTCTACATCGTACCACTAGAGCATATTAGTGGTATATCAACCACTACCAATACTACTAGAAACAGACGAAGTTAGTAAGAATTAGCCGCTTGCCCTTGCAAATCAAGGGTCCTGGGCCCCAACTCCTCCGAAGCCGACCTTGGTGTTGCTCGTTGTCATTCCAACCCCTCCTCCCGTCCTTGTGACTCCCGTACAGGTACTCAATGTGGATTGGGGATTTTCACTGGATCATCGTTGGCTCGCCGTGGATCTTCATATCCTTAGCCCACTGAAGGATATCTCCCAAGAGAAGCAAGTTCCCGGAAACCGGCATTCCAAGCCCGAGAGTCTTCTTTCTGTTCGGGCCACGAGCGTAGGAGAACTTGAGGCGGACGTTGGTGTTCACGTTAGAAATGCACAACTCTCAGACCTTGGCGTGGAATGTGCACCAATCCTGAAGACCTGCGATGGCGACATGCTGTTGGTGCTGCCAGAAGCCAGGGTCTCGTTCAAGGGGTTGACAGAGGTGGTGTTGATGGCGCCTTTGTCTACGAAGACAGTGAGGCAAAAGAAGTCCCAGAGGGCGATGATGTTGAGGATCATGGGCATATATGGTATTGCAGCAAGGAACACTGTCGTAGCCGATATATGTTGTAGTTCGGCCGCAGTAGATGAGGAAGGTGTTATATCAATATTGTAGACTAGAGTACCGGTAAGAGGGTTAAGGGCTATACTTGGCTTCTATTGAGGATCTTGCACTCTCAATTAGCGCTTGATTGGCGAGACGAGAAGGAGCAGGAGAGCTGGAAAGCTGGACGTCTTCTCAGATCCCAGGCAGCAAACAAGAAGGTTGGTATAGGCTGGACACACTTAACGAATATTTCCGATGATCGGCTGTGAATGATGAAGGTGACCGCGGATATGAGCCACAACTAGTACACGGACCCACTGACTGCGACAACAGCTCAAGTAAGTGAAGTAGCGTTTGTATGACGCCATTATTCACTATAATATATCTCCTCATTCTGACTCTGTAGCCTGCTTTGCTCACCCTCCACTTCCACTCTCGATCAAACCAAATTTTGCAATCCGCAACAACGTCGAGAAAGCCCCCAGCCCAGCGATGGCGCCGCCCAATCTACTCGACCTCCCGCCAGAGATCCGAAACTACATCTATGAATACGCTCTAGTCTCTGAGACTGGTAGTCTTTTCTATCGCGATCCCCAGGAAATGGAATTGCCCCCAGAAGAGACTGAGGCTAGGGTTACCAAGCGGGAGAATACCGGCACAAAGATCCTATTTGCCTATTACAAAGCCCCTTCCGTATCTCGAATCCATTTATGCGAGACTGGGGAGTCACATACAGAGATGAATCAACTCAAGTACGTCTGTCGACAGCTTCACCATGAGACCAAACGACTCGAGATGAGGTACAACAACCTGGTGTGCCAAGAAGACGCGATATGCCCCCTCCCTGCAGACATACAACTTGCTCGCTGTCTGCACATCTGCGACCATGCTTGGCTGTCGAAGATACGGACCATCATTCTAAAGTCAACAAAGAGTCATGGTGACTCGGCCACATTGCCAGTGCCCTCACAGATCCCCAAGATTAGGCATCAAGTCGATTTTGAAGCGTATCCTGTCAAATTCATTACAGACTTTTGCGTTGCCAACCCTAAAATCACAATCAAGTATTACAGGAGTGAACTACGACAGATCACATGGCGGGGTTTCTGGGCCGGCTTGTTGGTAGGCCATTTGTCAACTGGACGACAGATGCCCATCAACCTTTACGGAACGAAACACTTGCAAACCTACCAACGCAGAGTAGCGGGTAAAAATGGAATGATTGGGTCCCGTGGAACGCTTGTGCAGTGCCCAAACTTGCGAATGTTCCCCCACGACGAAGCTTTTGACGAAGCCAAGTTCAGGGCGGGAGCTGTCGCTGATGCCAATATGCGGTCGGAAATCCTGCCTTTCATCGCTGGTGGACTTGATACATGTGTCAAGGAGGTGAAGAGGATCTTTCTGGAAGGATTCTGAGGGTGACAGCGGATGACGCTGGCTGTCTTTTGCTGATTGCTGATCTCATGCGCTGTATGGCGCGTTCATATCGAGCAACGGCTCATTTTGAATATGGAGACTTTGTAGGAGAAGGTACTTATGGTCTGTTCTGGACGGAAGAGACTGGATTTGTCGGTTGAATGCTGGGCTCTCGGCACAAAATGTTCACCATTGTTTGGCCGCAACATCTCCAGGGTTTGGAAGGACAATACACGAGGATTGAGCATTCATGTCGGAGCTTGCACCTTGCAGTCTGGCTAGACCAGGGAGATAGTCAAGGCCGGAGTAGTAGGTTTCAAGACGGGAAGTTTCTGTGACGAAGCTTTCTTGCCAAATGCCGATTACATCACTAGCCGACGAGTCCAGCGTGTGGTAAATCTGCAAGAGATCCAAAGCATTGTAGTTTTGATCTCGCATTGCGATAGGTATCAGTCCAGTAGCACACCCAAGCCGGACTACCTTTCATATCCTGCCCACCGATCATGTCGAATGATTCCGAAACCACGAGTGCTTTATTTCTCTGTATCCAGTCTTGAATGGCATTTACAATGTCCAGTCGAGCACTGTTTGCTCGCGAATCAGAGTCATGCTGCTGCAAACCCATGTAGGTGGTAAACACTCGCTGGCAATCGTCGGGGAGACGGAGTTTCCATCTGGGTAGGTATGGGAAGCCGGTGATTTGGCGGCTTTCGAAGTGGGTATAAACGAGTAGGACAAGACATGACGCTCTTTTGCTCGGAACCTGAATGAAGCCCTTGCACATGCTTTGTGGTGAGAAGAATGCTTGAGGTATATCTGAACCCTGCGCGTGCGGCAAATAGGTATGTCATCGCATCAGCTCTACCGGTAGTTCGCTAACATCTGTGCCTACTCGGATGTACCGTACCGTAGCCTCATCGCCAACGCGCCCAAACAACCTGTTGTACGAGCGCCAGAAGCTCCAAGTCTACCGCATACACATCGATCAAGCGTAAGCCTTTCCTGCCGAGCTCAAGGCGCTTCTTGACACGATCTGCCAGCTGCGCAACACTACCAAGCGTGCATGCAGAGGACATCACCCATCGCCGCCGGTCCGCTCTCGATCAGATCGAGTGCGACGGCATCCGGCACATAGCACTCTTCCTGCCATTTACTGGCGAGGCCGAGAAACCTGACGCTTGGATTAAGCAGACATGGTTTGCTTTGAAGGAGGCTTGCGTTGTTTGACAGGTGTGTTGGGTACCTACGTGTCGCGGCAAGACGCCAGGAGCACCCACATACAGGAAGGAGTCTTTGAGGAAGCTGGCTTTGGCGTTGACGAGGGCTGAAGAGTATATCTCCCAGTCAGTATAACACTTTTACATGGCGTCTATTTGCTATGTATTGCCTAAGCCTCTATGTAAGCTTGAAGAGCTTTCTCGCATTGTCCTTGCCAATCTTTGCCCGGGTTGCCTCATTCATCTCCGCGTTATCGAACCAGCCGCAGGCATCATCAAAGGTCTCGAAAGGATAGTCGACAGAAAACAAGACGCGATCCACGCCAACCTCTGACAAGCAGAAGTTCAATGTGTTTGTCGAGAAGTGCCCAGACGTGGTGATGTAGATGTTCTCGTTGAAGTACTCCCGAATGGTCTTCTTGCAATCAAGGCCAAGCAACTTCTTGCGGTCCTCAAACCAATGGTTGATACGCCACATGTCAAAGGGAATGTGCTCTCCCAGGTGACCGAGGATGATCTGCAACTTTGGGTGACGATCAAATACCCCGTTAGTCACCATACCGAGAACGTGAAGGCTGACGCCTTGGGCAAACGATAATGGAGGGCCGATGAGCCACTAAATCAGGTTAGCGAAGATAAGCTGTGTGCATCAGTAGGAAGCCCCATACTTGGCGATCTTTCCAGAGCTTCTCAAAGATGATGCCCGTCGGGTTGCGTGGGTGGAGGTAGAATGGAACCTCCAGTTCGACAACGGTCTTCCAGAAGACGTCCCACTCCGGTTGATCGTAGAAGATCATGCCCTCGCCATCCGAGCCTGCTCGCTGCGTGTCGTTGACCAATGCACCCTTGAATCCATACTTGGTGATGCATCGGCGTAACTCATCGGCGGCCTCTTGTGGATTGTGCATAGAGAGCGTGCTGTCCACATGTGTCAGCCCAGGACCTCGTCACGGAAGCGTGCGGGGAGTTGTACGCAAATGCGCCTAGCCGATCAGGATAACCTCGGATTTGTTCTGCAACGTAGTCATTGATCTCGACGGCGAGCGCTTGCGCCTCCTTTGGATCCCAGACATCTTGAACGCCAGGCGCAGTGTAAGAGACAATGGTGTACCCAACACCGTGCTTCTCGGCGTGCTTGAGACGGATATCCGTCAAGTCCTGTATTTCTTTGGTGTGCAACTCTGCGTCGGTGCTGAACATCCCAGCCCACCATTTGGTCTTCTCCTCCAGCCGTGGCAAAGCGAAAGCCTCTTCCAAAATGATTTTTCCTTTCATGATTGGCGGCGGTGAGTGTATGGGAGAGGAATGCGGCAATGCTAAAGAAGAATTCGGAATGGAAGAAACGCCAGCCACCTAAATATATGAGATACACTGGCTCTTCCTTGGACCACACTCTCCGCATACCGTAAGACCCCGCCAGATTCCTTGGACAACGCGGGAAGCCCCTCCGACAACCTGCTTCCAGGATCCCGCAAAAGACGTTTACCCACTGCAACCCATAGGAATTGGGTTTGTGAAGAGCTCGCACTGGCAGCTATGACCAATAGCAGGAAGATCCGACATTCTCGGGTAATGCCCCAGATGCCCACGACCCGACGCTCTCGGCTCATACCCCAATGGCAGAATGACTCGTCACCCTCAAAGCTCCTTTTGGTACGTCAGTCAGTCATGATAGGATACCTACCCGCGCCGACAGAAGCAGTTTCTTAGGTTTGTTGAACACGTTGCAACACAAGGCGCTGCCGCATAGCTTGGTATTTCTCAAAGCCAGGTAAAGTTGACAACTTATGCTGAAATCAAATCATGCAAGCACGATGGATTGGCTGAATCGAAAAGTAGGCGTAGGTATATCTGCCTACATCGAGCAAGCAAAATATAGGAGCGCTGTTATATAAGGGCGCAGTTCATATAACCATGGAATTAGCGCTGCGTGAACTCGTATTTGGCATAGGGTTAGGCCGTGCCAAGCTCTACTAGCTAGCTAAGTAAGGTTAACTAAACATTATGCCGTAAGATTTTACAACGTGTTCTAAACCTATTCTAAATATATTCTATACTAGTAACACTATAAGCTACTGCTACTATGCCTGTTACTAACGTATCCCTCTTATCCTACGTAAGCAGATTAAAACGTGTTTAGAACGTGTTCTTAATAGGTTATAGAAGCACTATTAATAGTACCTTGCCCTTAGCTACGTCCTAGATAATATTAGGGCATAGCCTATAGTTAGCCCTAATAGGGTAGTTAAGATAGAGAGTAGAGAGCGCTACTACCGTGCTAAGATTAATAATAAGGGCACCTTGTATAGAGTAAGAATAGGTTCTAAACGTGTTCTAAATAGGTTCTAATATTCTTAGGCTATTCTAGGTACTAGGGGCACTCTATATACCTATGCTAAAAAAGATTATAGGCTTAATATAGCCTACTATAAGGTTAGTAAGGTTAAGAAGACTAGCTAGCCCTCTATAATAGAGGTCCGCGAGGTAAAGAGTAAATATATTATTAACCTATTCTTAACTTGTTATACTAATATATATAGACTTCTATATAAAGGTTATATATAATTACTAGAATACTCCTTACTATAAGTTATTTAGAACATGTTTAAAACTTGTTACTAACGTGTTTTATAGAAGTTCTCTAAGCCTAGCTAGTAGCTACTATAGGCCCCCCTGTAAATGCTAATACCCTCCTAAATATAATTTAGAAGAAGACTTGTAGTAGCTGTGATAGTAATAAGGTATAGCCTGTAAGAACCTATTAAAAACACGTTACTAACTTATTATAGCTTAACTTTATTACTATATCTACCCTACTAAGGATTTAAGGTTATTAGGTTCCTTGTGCTATCTACGCTTGTGATTATCCTAGCTATAGTAAGTTGTTTATAACATATTGTTAACCTATTCCTAACGTGTTTTAAGACTATTACTTTAATGCTAGTGTGGACCTTGCTAATTCCTGCTAGAATACTGCCTAGTTCTACTTATAGTATGCTTTTGTAGAGCCTAGGGAGGATAGGGAGGATACCTGAGAAGATACTAGAGAGGGGGAGGGAGATAATAATAGTAATAAGTAGGAACACATTAAGAACGTGTTAAGAATAGGTTCTAATAAATAATATATAATAGCATATAACCTAAAGGGGTAGTAGTAATTACTAAAATAAACTCTCTACTCTTCTCTTTTTTTTTCTATCTACTAAAAGTAAAGTACTATTTACTTTTATAGGGTCCTTTAATAGTATATAACTTTTTCTTTTAACTTTTATAGGTATTATAAAGCTCTAGTAGTCCCTTAGATTAAAGAAGAATCTAGTATTTATAGGTGTCTAGCTATAACGTATTATTAATATGTTCTAAACGTGTTTTAAGAGACTAGACTTATATCTCCTTTTTGCTACTTTTGCTAAATATTATTCACAGTGTAAAGGGGAGCAACTATTTGCTCCTCTTCTTTACTCTCTACTTCCTCTTTAGCCTCTACTCTAGCTACTACTTCTTGTTATAGACTAGCTATCTTAGAGGGTTCTTAAACCTTAGAGGAGGCACTTAGTATAGTCTACTCTACTAGCAGAGAACGTATTATTAACGTGTTTAGAACACGTTCTTAAGCATTTACTATTAAGCTCCTATAGAAGATCCTTGCTTCCGCAATGCCTTGTATTGTGGTTCTGCCACAGTTTACTAGGGCTATTTAAACCTTAGGATAATACCTCTTAAGGTAGTAGATAAGATTACCTCTATTAGAGAAGCAATACTAAAATAGTTATTAACATATTATAAACGTGTTCTAACTCGCATATATACATACTCTACAAAGTTCCTGTACCCCTAATCTAGCCTAAATAGCCTAGTAGAAAAGCTTGCTAGGAAATACTATACACCTATTATTTAGGTAGGATGTTGTAGGAGAGAATGCCCTAGTATTAGATAGAAGTGACTTAAGCTTAATATATCGCTGGTATAAATCCTACTTAGTATTAGAACAAGTTCACAACGTGTTCCTAACGCGTTCTATTATATACTAACTTTAAAAGATCTTTGTAGACTATATTAACTAGTTATATCTAATAATATTAGAAAAGATAGATAATAAAATAGTATTAAACTCTTAAATATAAAAAGTTCTTGTAGAGTGTAAGAAGAAAGAAGAAGAAAGAGAAGAAGAAAGAATATATATTTATCTACTTATTGTAACGACTTAGGTAGGTAGGGCATCTGAAAGGTATCCTATACGACTTAAAGGCATATAGGAGTGCGCGTCTGTATAGAAAAGGATGAGATTCCTACACCTATAGGTCTTGTACGAAAGGACAAGAAGAACATGCCTATCCTAACTATAGGCGAGCTGTTCTCTATATATATTAGTAAGTCAGGCCTTTATTAGGCCTAACTTGGCATAGAACAATAGGCAGGTAATTCTGCCTTATTGTTACACTACCCCCTCCTATAGAGAAAGGATAGTCCCTATCCTTAGGATTAGGTTCAGATCCCTCTTTAAAGAAGAGCTTTTGCAAAATAAATCCACCTTTACCTCTACCTTTACCTTCACTTCTTCTTCCTAGGGCACAGACCCCTATCCCTAGCCTACCTATAACTAGCCCTCTACCTACCAACTTTCTCACTCCTATATCCCCAATTTTCAATTATTTAACCCAATTCATCCAAAATCTAGTAAGTATTTAATCTATGTAATTAAACAGTTGCTAATCTAAATTAGAACCTTTAGCTATGCTAGTACTAGTACCACTAGGAGTCCTGCCTGTTGCTTATCGCGCTCTCTATATAAGAGCAGTTAGGGCTCTAGCTAGGGGCAGGTTTAATAATTTTAATTTTAAGTTAAAGAATTCTAAGAAGTGCTAGTACTGTATCTCCTAGAATAAGTATTGCAATCTAGTAAGTATCTAAGTCTAATAGGGTTCCTTTACTAATCCTAGCAGATTCCTTCTTTTGTTAGCTAAGAGTACTCTACCCTTAGGGGTGCTCTAGAAGAATACTACAGTCTAATTAGAAACCCTGCTAAAGGGGATAAGGATAAGGAAGCTATAGTTGCCTATTAGAAGGATGTTAAGTAGTTTAAGGCCACTATTTAAGAAACTGCCTAAAACCTTGCTAAGTGCGTTACTATTACTAATACTTAGACTAAGGGCATAGAAGCTGCTAAAATCCTTATAGCTACCTATTATACTACCACATCTAATTCACGTTAGCTTTAGAATAGTATTTATAAGATAGTCTTAGCAGTTAGGGGCTTAACAAAGGCTATTAACAAGCTTAAGGAGGAATTAGCACTAAATTAGGAGGCAACTTTCCTGGTCTAGGCTAAGATAAAGGCGTTCCACAAGAAGGAGTCTAAATTAGTCCTAGCTCCTGTCCCTGCTCCTGTACCTGCTCTAATTCCTGCTGCACTAGTTATCTAGAAGCTAGCGAAGAAGGATAGTCTAGGCGCGATCTTAGCTAATACAGAGTCTAAACTAGGTTCTAATAGAGAGATAGATATAGAATAAAGAGGTTTCCTAGGGGTAGTGTCCTAGGAACCTTTAAGGTTCTAAATAGGATATAATAATAAATAGCGACAAGAATAATAGTAATAGATAGTAGTTAATAGATAATACGTAGCTAAATAGGATGTAAATTAGTTCTAGTATTAGGCGTAATTATTGTGAAGTAATGTTAGATCCTCTTTGCCTTTTTCCTAGGCTTAAATCCATTTTAGTAAGCTGCGTAGGGGACCTAGCTAATTTAGATACTGTTAGTAGAATGCCTGTAATTTATAGGGAGCACCTATAAAGTTAGAGGCAGGATACTAAACAGGATTAGGATTATATCTAACCTACTTAACCTTATATTTTAGCTTAGATTAGTATAATTTGCTAGCTAGGATTTCTTCTACCTCCTATTCCTCTACACCTTGTATAGGGGTACTAGGGGGTTTTAGAGCCTCTTATCTAGGCAATAGGTCTTAGGGATCTTTGCATAGTATATTAGGAGAGAAAACGTTATAGATCTTAGAACTAGGTAGCAATTAGAGGTAATACGCGTTTCCTACTTGTTCTAATACCTTAAAGGGACCTTCCTATTGTTTAGATAGTTTTTAGCTAGGTCGTGAAATAGCAAGATTAGTAGTAGATAGATAAATATAGTTACTAACCTTCTAGTTAACTAGATAGCGATAGTGATTGGTAGCAGAGCGCATTTAGTCTTAAGCTCTTTCTATATTTTCTTTAGCAATCTTCTAGGCGTCGTGTATCTAAGTAGCAAGGGATAAGGCG